CAATCCCCGGCCCTGGGCAGGGCAGCAGCACGTTCGCCTACGGCTGTGATCCGCGAAGCCGCAACAAGGGACCTGGACTGGAGTCTGACCTGGAGCCTGAACCGGGACCTGAACGCTGGACATTGTACGAGGACGGCCGATGCGTCGGCGAACAACCCTGGCGCGAATGCGACGGTACATGAGAGAGTCCTTCTGGATACTACAGTACGATACCTACTCCGTACGCTCTTTTCCATTCTGCGCCGTTAAAGAAGTGCAGGACGTACCACCTCTTGCTTCTTTCATCCATAGCACGACACTGTCAAGCTGACAGCGCTGGAAGCTGCATGGATGTTGATCGCTGGTTCTGTCCCCTGGTATCGCAAGGACGCATCAAGGAGACCGTCGCTCTTCCATCTGGTTTGCGGGGTTCTTCGAGAGCATATAGCGGTATCAAGAGAGAAAGAGAAAGAGAGAGAGAGAGAGATGGAAGCATTGACAGCAGAATGAACACCACCTCGACAACGCCGCTTTCACTGGCGCGCCGACGGCCAATTCCAGCGTTCTGGGCGCTTTCCAGTGACAGCTACTAGCGGCACATCTCAGGCTGATGGGCTGCGCCACTTTGTGGGCTTGCCGCGGCCGGCTCGGTTTTGACAGGGTTAGGGTTGATTGGCGGCTTCGTGGATTGCTGCCTCGCTTCTACCTTCAATGTTCTTTCAACCTGCGACCTCCAACCACCATATCATCCTTCTACGGCGACATTGGCGTTCCATCATGCTTGATAACTCTTCACATCTTCAATCCTACGAGTTCCAATACAATACCAGCTTCATTTGACGCCGATGCATCACCACGAGGGAATGACTGCAGCCAATATGCTCCATACGAGCTGCAGTGCTGATGCGCAATTAGCTCCCGCATGGTCAGATGCAGCACCTCTGCACTTTTGCTAGCCCCCCTGCACGCATCGCCGAATAACAGCGGCAGCGCAGCATCGCATCTGCAGAACCGGGAACAGGGCACCGGGCTTACCAACAGGCCGCACACCTGCAGCCGATGGTCAACGGGGCGGCAAGCTGGAAGAAGAGAGCCAAGCACGCCCGAGGGGAAGGCGAATCAACATCTGCGAGGCCCAGCTTGCTTGCTTGCTGGGGGTTCTGGTACTTGGGAATGCATGGAGCGTTCAAGTTGTCACTGATTGCCCCCACGGTACGAAGTCCAGTTTCGAGCAATAGTGCTCACAGGCAGAGATGTGCAAGATGTCTTTTTTTACCATTCTTGACAGTTCGAGGTCTCACAGCCAGCTCATACTGCCTGTATGAGCGACGCCAGGACTGGGACCAAAGAATCACGAGTCATTGACTGAGCTTCTAAGCCTTCTTCGCCCAGTCAGTACGACCACGGTCCGTCAGCGACAAAGACCCGACAGCTTGGGCCATCTGCAGGACTTCATACTAGCCTGCAAGAGTTCGTGCTGATGCCATCGTCGTCGAGTGCGGAGTTGCAGCTTCTGTTCAGGAGCAAGCATTGCCAAGCTCGATTATGTGCGCACAAGCGATTGAACTACCTAGTGGCGGGCAGATGCTCGTAATAGCAGGTCGGATACAGGCATGGCATAGCGGTCTTCAGGTCGCTAGGTTTGCTCTCCACGACATCTCTGCGTTCGGCCGGGCTTGGCCAGCAGAATTGGGCAACTTATATACCTTGGTATTGATGGCGAGCACCCTCAATCACATCAACATCAACTTAGCAGTCGGACTCGAAGCTCCTCGGGGTCAATTCTCCACCATAAGCACCAACTCTGCAGGCACTTGTCTATTCGCTATACTCGCAGGCCCTTCGGTAGTTTGCATATACCAAGGCCGAGGCCGGGCTTGTTTCACACGATATCGGCCGAGCCATGTTGAGGCACCCGTGGCAGGATGCCACCGCTCATGCCAATTCATATCTGGAATCGGATGATGACTTCTACCTACTGCTCGCCTGGCAAGACAAAGCCTTCCTCAGCACGTCCGAGGTGGTTCAAAGCGCCATCTCATAGACTAATCGAGGTCACGGCCATAGCGGTCGATCCAAGGCACACTTCACATGACGATGAAGGAAGACTCGGTATGTGGCATCTTACTCGGCACTACCTCGTCCCTCGTGTCTCTCAACGCATCAGCACAATCGTTCCAAAATCCACTTGGTCGATCAACTGCCACCATACGGAGTACTCCGTAATCGATACGGCGAAGGTGTCACATCGAATGAGCCTTTCTACTCTAGTCCACGGCATCCATTACTAGCCCTCGGACATTTTGCTTCAGACGGTTGGTGCTAAGAGCCAATGTGAGCCGGCGGGATTTCCGCGCCTCGTCCCGTTGGCGAGAAGCCTACCTACCTTATTCAACTCCTAGCGGCCACATGCCCATGCGCATCATACTCTGTATGTACGTGTACCCGTCAGCAGGGCCTACCATGACGACTGAACCCTGTGCTGCTCATTCGGACCGGAATTGCCTGCCACCATGCAGGGCTGCCATGCGGGATCCCGCCACCACATGGACGAGAGAGGAAACGTGACAGTGCCACGCTATGGTCTGCGAGTGCGAAGTGACTCCTGGTTCAGGAGCAACCGCACGCTACGGGCATGCAATGCACGAGGGAGCTTATTCTGGAACCTAGGCCGCCACTCTGCATTTTTGCGTCTCAACTGTCAAGATCGCCCGAGATGCTCTACGGACTACGCGTTGAAGCAAGTCTGGTCACATCTTCTTGTCACCCTAATGGACTTGTGTCGGGCACCTCTTGCTTTGGAAAACCATTCGGAATGCCGGATTACGAAGAATTATCAAAACGCTGTTATTACATCGAGCATATCATCAGAGACTGAGCATATACGCATGTCGGCGCGGACAGCAGTCTTATGCGATCCCGCGCTTCATTAATAGACGTACACAAAGTTGGGGTTCTCCTTATCC